GGTAGGACTCTCAATCAGACAGTTCTGACATCGCTGCAACGACTTGATCGTCTGAAAGAAAGCCATTAATTCTTGACTGCAAACTTAGCAACGTCACCATTACTAACCCGATCCATCATGCTCTTTTGGCACGGATAGGTCTTGTAAGGGCAAGCGACCCGTAAACTGCTAACGGTGACTATAGAAGCCATTACTTGCACGTCCTGTAGGTACTGCACAAGCGCATCGCTTAAAAACAGAATTGAAATTGCGCAAAAGACGCTTTACTGAACAAAATGTCAACGAACTAGAAGTAAGACCGGACTTCGACCGGAAATGCTAGCTACCTTCAGCCAAACAGAAAACTGTAGAGTACATCAAATAACAAGCTAAACCCTGACCCAAACAAGCCCACAAAGCAGCTTAAAGGATCAACAATTCTGTTGTACGGATAAGAACAATGTCAGTATCAAAAATTATGTTAATTAATTCAATAAATTATTAATTGCGCATTAATTCGAGACCTTAATTTTTAAATTCCCTAACAAATTTTCTGTCACTTATTAAAAGTAAATTAATTACAAATGTAAGGAAGTTTTTGCCTATCGAAAGCAACGCATAATTTTTTGGAAGGACATCTGCATTGTGGCTAAATATTTGGCTCTACACTTTAGAGCTGCAGAATTCGAATCGCAGCAGGCTCAAAATTTCTCTTATTAAGTGCTAAACAATTTTAGCATTGAATTCATTCATTTGTGCCTCGATGGAACCAGCCGGGTAGCGAACAGCTGATCAGAGAACAATAAGGATGGTAATATACTCAGGTGTTATCATGTAAGGGCTTTCGATGCATGTGGTTCTGCTGATTAATATGTGAATCAATGCTGCGATTCTCCTTGACCCATCAGTTTTCTGAATAAAATGTAGTACACATTGAAAACCGTTTGTCAAAAGGCTCTGATGACCGTCTTTTCGGGCCACGGAGGCAAACGTGTCAGAGGGTGTTTCCAACTTTTTCAATCCTCTACCAACGTTTGAACTTCGGCAGAAAATAACCCGAGTTCGGAACAGACTTGTCCTTGGTCAAGGCAGTCTGTTCCGCCTACCTTGGCGAAGTCTTCGGTCATTCGGTTGAGCAAGTACTAGCTGTTTCCTCTTCTTTTATGGAAATATTCGTAACGTGAAAATCGTAATTT